TTGTTGGGGGGGGGGCCCCAGCCGCAGCGGCAGGCAGGTGCTGGCGGCAGCATGGCAGCGATGACTGCTCTTTAAAACACCCCCTCGGGTTAGGACATGGCACCCGTCAAAGAGAAACAGGCGCCGCGTGCTTTTAACCTGGTCACCCCACTGAAGGTTTCGGGGGCTACATTCTCTGCCAGTGCTGGTGAGGATGGAGCTGCCGGAGTGAATCGAATCCCTCTGCCTTGGCACAAGCGTGGCACGAGGCAGAGGCTGGCTATCCACCCACCGCACGGCCGCAGAGAAGAGCCAGCTCCAGAGGGTGCAGTGTCTCTGAGCTTTTATCCTTGAAGTGTTAAAAAACAAACCTAGCCCTAGTGTAAATATTTCATTGTATAAAGCACTTTACTACCTGCCACTTCACGGTGCAGGAAGTCTAATTGTGTTGGGGAAAGAAGAGGTTGAAGGTGGCACGTGAAAAAAACTCCTTGAAACAGAAGCACTCCTGAAGACCCCCCAAGTTGGATGGCGTTAATGGTATAAAGGGAATGGCCAGCCTGGCACTGGCTACTCAGAGTATCTGAGGATACAACCTGAAAGATAAAGTATTTGCACTGAAGTCCCAGCTTCAGACCAGCACTTGGACCCCGTGGGCAGGACTCCAGCGAGACTTCACAAGCAGCATGAGGAGAAGAGACTTTGAGACAAAAAATGCAATTGCCAGAGGAGAAAAACTCTGCCTGCAGGAAAATGAGTGGATGTGGAGAACAGAAAGGACTCGCATTCGCATATCACAACCCAGCGATTCATGGTGGGCCTGGAGTTTATTTTATTTTTTACGTTAGTATTTAAAACTGAACATTTTATTTGTTTTCTTCTGTGTTATTGTTTGCAATATATACGGCCATTATACTTCCTCATTAACACCAGTATGGAATATAGCACAGTTTACTGCAGTTTTCAGCACTAAAATATATCTTTTCTGTAAAGCATCTTTAAACCACATTGCATAGAGTGTATTTTGTTCATGAGTGTGAGGGGAAAGAAAAGGAAGACATACAACACCAGAAAAGTCAGGAGTCTACCAATCCGCTTTACGTATGTATTTTTCTTTCAAGGTCCTGTGGACTCACAAAAAAAAGGATACTATTTTGGTAATTTGTTTTTATATCTCATGTATGTAATAAATATAATATGATTTCAACATCTTCATCTCCTGTTACTGCTTACACCACTGGCAATGCAGTCTTCGTGCCTCCACTAGAGAGCACAGTGAAAATGGAGCTGGGTAGGGTGAAGCTGCCATGGGGGTCATTTTCCTCTCTAGGGGATAATATTCACCATATGGCAAAAAGCCAAGCAGCATGGCTGGCTCACAGAAATCCCATTTCACCTCTATTTTGGGAGGCTTATAAGCTCTTCTCATAAGAAGAGGAATTGTACCTAAATATTTTCAAAGTTGGCCAGATCCTTGCATCCACACAGGCCTGATGGCTGAGCTGCAGAGGAGTTACCTATAAGAAGCAAGCCAGGGATGGCAGAAATCAGGCTCACTCCCTACATTTGAAACATTTGAAACTGTAAAGGAAAAAAAAAAGGCTGTGGGAAACGAGTGCTGTGGCAAAAGGTCTATAAAAACACTGCAGAGTGAAGTCAAGCATCAGAAATGAGCAGCCAGGGGGTCGAGGCGTAAATCGCAGCGTGGGCAGCACCTCCCCAGGTGGGCGGTTAATCAGTGACTGCCGGGGCACCACACTGCAGCAGCACCCATCTCCCCAGCGGCTGGAGGAGAGAGCAGGGAAAGACTCCTCCTGTGGCAACACTTGGAAACTAAGAGCCTCCAGTATCTCCATTTAGATTTAAAACTTTGCAGTTTTACGTGCTTGACATATTTTTAGCTTAATTTTATTTTAATGCAATTAAAACTACATTTGCAATGGCTAGTTGGTTCATGTGGCATCGTGAAAGCCAGAGGGTGTGAGCGGAGAGGCCTGCAGTCCCAGCTGGCTCAAGCACTGCAGGGAACTGGGATGGCTCTAGCGGCAGACGCTGCGTACGGCACCTTGTCTGACCCCAGTCCTAGCCCTGGCTCTGGGCACTGATGGTTTTACGAAGGAAAGGGATTAGCTTCCGTAGGGCAAATCTGTCCATGAGAGATTTCTGTGAGGGGATTTTGGCTGGAAGGAGAAATGTCCCTTTACTGTGAGTGGGCAAGCTGGATATCCCTCCATCCATATGAGATCTCTTCACAGTGACAAGATGGCCAGCCAAGCCCTTCTCAGCGAGAAAAGCTTGTTCTGACAGTAAATCTTTGCAACTGAGTGGGTTCGTCGAAGCAGCCTGCCTAGTTTATCTGTTTAATCCCATCTGTTACACGTATAAGAATAGGATATCTTTCCCTGCCCACCTGAAGAGTAGATTTATTGCTTGATAACTCTAGGAGTAGCAATGCCTTGTTGTGTGACAAAAATCAGTGGCAGGAAAACCAACCCAGTCATAACCAGAGTCGGCAGCAGCATCCACAAAACGGTCTTTGCTTCCAGAAATACCCCTCTGGCCTTACAGACAAAAGCTGCTGATGGAAGCAAAGCTGGCAACTTCACCAGAGGCCAAGCTGCCCCTCTCTGGACTGTGTTGCTCCTGGTGAGAGGAAAGCAGAGGTGGGTGCTGGGGTTTTGGGGACCAAAGTGGTGGCAGTGGTGCCAGGAGCTGCAGCAGCTCTGCCCAGAGCATCCCCATGCTGTCCTCCTGCCTCACCTGCACCTAAAGAGCAAGTACCTCCCTGCCACTGCAGGAAGCATGGTGGAGTCTTCAACCATCCCTGTTTCCAATGCAGGCAGCTAGATGTAAACAGTGGCCGGGGGTCAGTGATAGGGGCTAGGGCTGGCTGCCAGAGACCCTGTGCTCCTGGTTGTGTGTCAGCATTGCAGGAGTGACTCTCAGCTGGTGACACGCACTTGGGTTGGAGGAGGTAAAGCAGGTGTGTTAGAGCCAGCCACCACCACGGCACAGACCCACAGCAGACATGGCAAATACAGCCCCTCCAGTGTGTCTGCATATGATCCAAACCTGTAGCAGGTGCTACAGCACAGAGAAGGGGAACACTCAGCCCCAACAACAAGTTTTCAGTCCCTCCTTCCACCATGCATCTCTCCGAACCCAAATCTTCTGCCATGAGGGTTGTCAGGACGAGGCACTACGCTAAATCCATATGCTGCTGTGCAAGTGAAGCTTTTTCCACCATCCTCTGCCACCACTGCTACTTGTGGAAGAAAGCAGGACAAGCCACCCAGATCTGCCCATCAGTTTTCACTAACCTGAATCCGGGTGCTTGGAGGAGGCTGTACTCAGAGGTGTCCCACATCCTTCCTCGCGGGGGGTCACCTTACACACCCGATTGCTTGCTAGTAAACACCTGCAAATGGGGTGAGCACTCCCCGGCTCTGCCGGGCCTGCAGGCTGGGTACCTCTGCCCAGCCCATTCAGCAGGAAGCATGAGGTGACGGGACAGAGTTGTTTAGGTGAAACATCTGCTTTTATTCTGTTAAAGAGCATTTTTCTCTTTGGACCACCTTAACAGACACCATCCATGCCTACAGACTGCAAGTGCAAGGAGGGATGGGGGAGAAGCTGCCTGCAGCCCCAGCTGCATCCTTCCCCGCAGCAGCAGCTGGCTGTAGGGCGACTGGGCAGCCCATGGACCCCAACAGCATGTCCCATCACCTCCCAGGAGCTGCTGCTGATGGGGGCCTTCTCCATCCTCGGCACGTGCCAGACCAAGCCCCAGTGAGCTGCAGGAGTGGTGTCCCCTCCTGCCACCACGAGAGCCGGGAGAGGGCTTGGGGCTGTGCCAGCTGCACATGCATGGGGCCCTTCCCATCAGCCGTCACTCACCCCAGAGGAACGCGATCTTCCAGTCACAGTGGAAAATTACAGGCATGTTTAATATAGTTGCTCTGTCGGGCTAAATCTTCTGGGATATGACCATGTTGCTGAAAATGACTGAACGTCTGGTACTACCGGCCTGCCGAAATGGAAAGCTGGGCTGGTATGGGTAAACATAACAACTCAGGAACAAATAGCTGCAGTGTATTTTTTTTTTTTTTTAATCTTTATTTTTAGTTATAGTATTGACTTCAGTATCAACACTGGATAGAATAAACATCTCAAAAATGTCCGGTGACTGCTGCCCCAGCATCCAGAGGAGCCCTCTCTCTGATAAGGCAGGAGGAGATCGGCTGCCTGTGTGCCTTCTGGGCTGATGTGTTGATTTTTTGATGACGGTGTTTCCAAAGCATGCCCTTGCCCAGGGGTCATAGCTTCTTGCCGCTCTTTTCCCACAGTTCAGCACAGAAACATCACGGATGCCTTTTATTGCTTCAAGGGAAGGCAGTGAGGCCTCGGCAAGGCTCACGGGCTGGGAAATATACTATATATGGGAAACTTGTTGGTGTATTAAAAATGTTAGCATGGCCAAGAGGCCAACATGCCGCAGCAGGCATCGGGAGAGCCACTCTGCCCAGCCCAGCTCCAGGCTGTGCCCATCTCCTCACTTCTCCATCACTCCAGTGACTCTTTTGGAGCAAAAATAACGCTGGGCTGCTCACAGATGTGATGTGCTTACGGGTGTGATGTACTCACAGGTGTGATGTGCTCATGGATATGCTTAAGCCC